CGAATTAATTATTTAAACGCTGGTGAAATTGTTGCGATAAGGGTAAGAGGAGTGAAGAATTAGAGGTAATTTGGAGGTGATAGCCCCAAGCAAAACAGAGCGTGAGCTAGGGGCGGTTGATGACATTTTATGGGCGGTAAGATGCAAGACAGAATGAAAGAACTTTGCATCAGTTTATGGCCGAATTATTGCACCAGTTGTACCAATAAAACGCAGTTACATATCACCAACGAGCTAAAATGACCTTCCTGTGAAGTGCGGTGATCAGATTCTTTATGTTGTGTTTCACATGTAAAAGGATTAGAGATGCTCCTAACTCTGAGTGTTTATGATGGAATCACTAATCCATTGTTTAGGATGCCACCTTGTGTGTGGAGGATGAGGGTGGCAAAGTAGGAGGAGGAGGAGGAGGAAGAGGAGTAGGAGGTGGTGCATTCACCAGTCTTCAGAGGACAGGCTGCCACAGCTTAGTAGTGAGTCGTCTTATGTCCTCTTTGGATTGCAACCTCCCCTGTTTTAGGTATGATGAAAGAGTAAAATTAGTGGGAAAAAGAGAAAATACAAAGGAATATTTTTTTACTAACGTCAACAACGAACCCGTTTATGACAAATGACTATTGTCAAATTTGTCATTGGCCTTGACAGGTTTTGTGCATCTTTGCAAGCTCTGCAGACTTTTACACCTAAAATCTTTGACTTTGCTAGCCTTGGAGGCTTGTCACACAAGAGGCAATGGTGGAGGCCATTGATGTTGGCGTTGAGAGAGACAAAACCAACTAAACACTAAAGGGTAATTACATATTGACATCAGCCATTCTTTATTCGATCTTATCATCTTTTTTATTTAATGTATGTTTAATTGAGAACTGAATGTCACATATATGTGACGCTGGTGACACACCAGTTAAAATAGTCAATTATTCTTTATCAGCTTTCATTAAACTTTCTTGTCAAAGGTATGACCATTAAAGCGAAAGAGCTTCAGTATCTCGGCTTCTGTTACTATTAATTTACAGCAGACAGATCTGTCGTGGATACCCCCACGTCAGGTCAGGTCAAAGCCGCATAGAGGCACCTCATACTTGTTACACAACTGGCTCCGCCAAACACATCCTTTCTCACCCATTTATCACATACTTCTACATATTAGGCCACCTGCATCATCCTGGACATTAGTCAAGTGACAATTAGCAGAACATTTACTTAAAGTTTCGATGAGGTTGCGCAAATTTAATACAGAGGCTGCATGATTGGAAAAAATGTAATCGCGATGCCACTAATCCTCTGATTGACGGCCTGCACTTTATCGAGGATGGCCTCATGCATGCGAGACCCTACAAGTTGGGGAAAAAATTGAAGGCAATCATGCCATTCCATACTATGTAGAGTGGTCTTTTAGTATCACGCAGGACTTGGGAAGTCTAACATATGAGTCCACAGTATCTTTTTGCCTGATAAGATTATTGTGACTCCATTATCCTACGTAGGTTTGGGCAATTTACTTTATGCCTAGTGATAATCATGCAATGATTTGCATCTCCATCTCCATTTCCATCTTGTTCTCTTCCCACACACAATGGCAGGCCTTGAATGCGCTGCTAACAGCCACAAAGTGGAGGCCATTCCAAATGCCATAAAGACTGGAGGATTGGATCCTCCTGTTCCTCCAGCAGCGGCAGCAGTTAACCAGCAGTCACTTAATCACAGACTACACACCTTATATAACACCCATACAGGTTTTGTCATTGGTTACACTCAAGATTGAAAAACTCGGTAGGAATCAAGATCCTACGCTTAAATACCACTTCATAATCAACAACTGGAAAAGACTGGAACTTGCGTGTATGTGTGGGTAGGTGGATGTAGACAGCTCTACTGTCTAAATAATACCTCGGACTAAAAGGGAATAATTGTTAATCATATGGTGGCGTATTTTATGCTTGTTTAAAAAGCGGATTTCTACAGTGGACGGTCATCCGTCATGACAACTAAGTGACGTTTGCAGTAAAATAAACAGATTTTTATCCACTGTAATGAAGTCAACAACCAACATAAAAAATTTATGCGCAGCTGCTTATTCAAAAAGGAAACAAAACTGACTTTGAGCAGACTAAACAACACATCCATAATAATGACTTTCCCTGTTTTAGGCAAATGAAATTTGACACTTTTGTTACAAGACGTCCATTTCTTAAGCGGAAGGAATAATGCGAATAAAAACTATGGGGTGGCAAGCAAGCTGATTGGATCAACGTCGATGACTGGAATGGTGTCATCAGCCTCTGAGAAGGGAATGGAGGAGAAAGGAGGGGGAGGGATAAAGCCCTAATTTCTCTATACTATCGTCCTCTTGCCAGCCTTCCTAATCCAGGAGCTTAACCAGAAAAAAAGACAATGATAAATGAAGAACGGAAGGCTATGCCTTTAAGACAGAAGTACAATTTGTGGAGATGAATTGACTTGCTTGGTTACACTGGTGGTTTTAACAACCGGTGTTTTGTTTTATCGTTATACTTAACGACTAGGCAATGTTATCGTTATACTAAATGTTCGATGTGACGCCCCGACACCTCCCTTATGTAAGAAAAAGGCATGATACTCAAGCAGGACCTGTATCTTCAACGTAGGGAACAGCTTGAGGCTGTTGGCATGGCGAAGAGGCTAGGTCGCTCGACGATGGCACAATGGTGGCGCAGCCACTAATTTAAAAGTGCCAAATTCCATTTAACTCCTGACACGTCTAGCCTTCAGTGTCAGAATTACCCCTGTATTTTTTTTTTAAGGTTCTCACATTTAAACTACGCAAGAAGGATTCTAATAAGCGCGCGATACTAACATCCCCAGAGAAACATACCCACATTTTGTACGTCAGGGAGAGAACAAAATACTTTCCTATCAATTTTTTCCTGAAAGTCCAACCGTTAGGAGAACTGTGCGCTCGACGAACATCACCTTGCATTTTCCCACAAGACTTCTTCCAAAGCAATAATCTACTTGTTTGGGATTAAACGGGCATTTGCGAGACAAAGTGAGGACGAAATAGAAGTTAGATAAGGCAACAAAGGCGATAATTACATCAAGTCTGTGTCCCTTTATAGAGGTGGAAATGCTAAGGTAATTAAGCATTCATAATTGTAAGCAACTTCTGCTAGAAAGAAATGGCTTTCTAAAGACTAGTTGAAAATACTGGATACATTTTTAATTAGGCCTATTTACTTTAAGCTCATCCATTTAGTCTACCTTCTACGCCACTTTGGCGACTGATTCTACGCCGTGACCATGGTCTCCCCAATCCTTCTGCAAGGTAAAGCTGCATTCTTTCCCCTTCTGGCACACATTTGGGCCCACACACTGAAATTCACAAGCATTAAAACCATAGATTTTTGCAGGACATACCAACCTTAATTAAGCCTGACCAGGTGAATGTGCATCTATGCCGATTCTTCAAGCCCCGTCAAGTTCCCGTGGCCGAAGCAGTGTCTTGACGGTGTCTACAATGCATTTTTTTAAACTGCATTAGCCCAGGTACGCGCAATTTCTTTATTTTACAGGACTTATGGCAAATCTAACCTTAATTAGTTGGAAGAGTCAAAAAAAAGCCATCCCCTCTCACTTCTGGCAATCCACTCCGGTATTTTGGCTTGCCACACTGGACACCAATTTTGTGGATGTACACAATTCCACTGCATTCCCACTGGCTGAAGTGAACATCAACATTAGGGCTGAGAAGCGTTAAATTAACAAAACAGGCTATTCGAATGCGTTGGTGAATATGTAATTTATGAGAAAACTATTCCAATTAATTTTATGCCAACCTCTGACCTCTTGCGCACGAAAAAACAGATTAAAATAGGCGCAGCCAAGCAACCTCACTATTTTCCTTCCTGGCATAAAAACTGGAGATTTCAATTAACTATGAAGTGGCAAAAAAAATGACACCTGAAGGCCGAGGAGTGACAAAGTGGACGCCACTTTGCCCCGATAACATCAACCAGTGGTTAGTTGTAGAAAAGTCTACCGCCTCCAATTAAAATAATGAACTTAAACAAAATTACTAAGTCAAAATTTTTTACTCAACTTGTGAGTCTAGTAAAGTGAAGCCGCATTTGAGTGGTTAGACATTTGTGAAAAGAAAGAGAAAGTGCTCACAATAAAAGGCCGGAAAGGTAGGGTGTTCTGCTTATCCACAGTCAACAAATGGTATCTTAGGTATATCTGAGTACAAACAAGAGTAAACGAAGGAAAAATATGGCTTGAATGTCATCTCTCCTACCCAAGAATGAGAACCATGAGCCCATATTGTGGGTCAGTTGATGGCGATACTGCTAATATGTTTCAAGACGAAAGAGGGCAGGGTACTTGGACGCAATACACATCGTCGTCGTAGAAAGGGACCGGACCACTATTTGCTTTGCCTGGAAGTCAGATCGAGGCAGGAGATGTGGTGGTGGAGAGTAAAACAAGCATCTTGCGCATTGCATTGACTTCCATTTCAAAGTTCCTATTTAATGCATTTTTGCACTACGTATGGGCTAAGTATATCCCAAACAGGAACAGCCTAACTGAATTCATATTCAAGCAATACTACTTACAAAGGAGTTACAAGTAGCACACAAGTGTGTTGTGGGAACAAGGTTTCTTCCTAAGGTAAATTATTTGAGCATCTGCCGCTGCGTTTCTGTGACTAACGACTCACCGGGAGTGGTGTGCTTAAAGTTAAGTCTACATGAAAAGAGGACAGGTTAGTACGCAATCAAAGATGCCAATAATTGCACACCTAGCTAACTTGTTGACTCCCCTTTCCTCACTGCATTTCGCAGGGCCATTGTGACTGCACTTTTTACACGAGGAATGAGCAAATATTCTGCTGTAAGATAAGAAAAAGCATAAAAGAAGCTCGTGGCTGGTGCTACTTCCAGCGCTCTCTAGGAAGTTTTCGTTTGTGAGTACACAATTCCTGGAAGGCAGAGCGACATGCAGACACTGAAGAAACCGCATGGATGAACAAAATATCCGGTGGCCACCTCGCCTCAGCTCTTTTTATTCGTTCTACTGGGATATTCTCACGGTCGGTCACCTGTGTCAAATATCACAATGCAGTTGGAAATGTAATCATTACGTTTGAATGTAGGTAAGCAGACACTGGATTCTATGGTCTGAAATGCGGTTTGGCAAATCTATGGTACCTGAGGTTCCGTGATACTTGCTCACTGGTTAGTGAGAGATTATTCCGCATGATGATTGGGTGGATCGTTATTCCAAGGCCGGAGGCTTTCCTGTTCAATAGTATTGTAATAGTATTGTAGTACTTCCACTGCTTGTTCAACTCATCCTTTTAGTTACCCAGACACTGGAGGTCTCAGTCACCGTACTTCCGCTCGGTGGCCTGACCTCCGGGGCAGGTCGGTAGCCCCTAGCTCTTCTTCATGCTAAAAATACATATTTCAGTATAAAAAGTTTCTTCTGAAGTGATTTTATCGGGAGCCTAAATATAAGATAATATTATTTGACTCTTTTAAAACAGGAAAATTATGTTGCTTTAATTAACCATGACATACAAATGTAGCAACTGAAATGTTTAAGGAGGTAAGGACAATGAAATTAAGTGGATAAAAGAAAACACTTTGCGACCAAAGCATAAATAGGCCTGAAAGAAAAAAAAACAAACAAATTTTCCTTGCTAATTTTAATTATGGTGAACTGCAAGAAAATTGTTTTAGAATGAGAAATATATAAGTGTTGTGAGGACGATATGAACATTATTTTAAGATGTATGTGAGGTGGGCCAAGGCTCTAATGAAAAACGAATGAGTACGCAATACTCGGGTCGAATGTGTATTGTTAACCCAAAGTAGGGCTTGGTGGCTACTAACCTAGTCTAAATGCCAGGCCATCCAACAGAGGTGCAATGGCGGAGCCCAGAGAGGAACCCGTTAACACAATTGAGATTTAAGCGGACTATTAAAGAACTACAGTAATATTATTCATCTGCTTCAACCTAGAGTGGTCACAATCTACTTGGCTGTAATTTAAAGTGGTTACGTAGATAAAGACAATTACAACAAGAATTTCCGTATTCGAAAGGTCAATTGTGGTATGATTGTTCCTGACCTACGGGCAAATATTTCATTTCGTGTTCCTCCCATTCGATAAGCACGTGCTGAGTTTAAACTTGAAATGGCTTGGTGAGACCTCTAGAAGACAGATAGGTAGGGCGCCTTTAAATTTGCCAAAAGGAAGGCACTGTCGTAGCTTACGCGTATGATGTGGACAACCCTTACTTGTCTCTGTTAAAACTTTCACCTTGTCAAACTCTCAATGATATATGGGTGCAGGAGTAAATCAAAAAATTCAAGCCTGTTATTTCTGTGCAAATAATTTGTTGGTATCAATTTTGCTTTTCCTTAGAGTCTTCATTTTTGTCGATATCATCCTATTTTTACCCTGTAAGTCTCGTTTCCTTCCTAATCCTGGTTTATAAACTCAGTTTATCGGCACGAGGGGGTAAGCAGAGGCCGCCACGCATCGCTTTGATGTCATTTAATGACAAAAAACAGGTTAAGATTAGTGAAG